TACTGTGCTGAGGACCCAATTCCAAAAAAAAAAAAAAAAAAAAAAAAAAAACTGAGACAACACCACTGCCAGGACCAAGAAGATATTTAATATAATAATTTTCCATTAATAAAAAGGATATAAGCATTACATAGAACATGGTTAAATCTATATAAAAACATACCCCCACCCCAAATATCCATAAATAGAAAAGAGACCAACAAGAAATACATCAGAGTTAACAGCAGATGCCTTTGAGTTGTTGGACTATAACTGTACAGATACTGTTTTCACTCTCTTATATGTACTTATCAAAAACATTTTCACAAGAATCTTTTTTTAATAAAAGAAAAAATATCTCAAAAAGGGAGACTTCCTTTCCTCCAAAACATTCTGCATAAATTTATAGATTTTACCTATTGTGTGATTTGCTTGAGATCTCAAACCTGCTGATTCTCTGTATGAAAAGCCATGTAGGCCAATTTTCTGTCTGTCTGAGCAGTGAATGCCAGCGTAAACAAATCTCAATATAAATGATAAAAAAAAAACAACTGGATATTTAATTAAAATTTATAACAGACTATAAGAACCCAAGCTGCTTATTTTAAACTAAAATAATACATAGAACACTCCATAAATAATGCTTCGTGAAGCAGTTAAGAAAAAAATACCTTGTGACACTTGCAAACAATTTCCTTTTCTTCAACAGTTGTATTGATCAGATAAGAAACATATACAAGAAACATTCTCGAACCCACTGTTCCACAGCGAACATATAAAGTTTTTTCCAGCTGTAACAAAATGTTATAATTTCATTAATATTACAGAGATTTCCTCCTGATATTCTAGGACCGTGTTCCCATCTGCTAGAATTTACTGTACCAACTGGCTATGTATTTTATCACTTCCATAAGCTGTTACAGTGTAACTAATCAAAGCTCCCGGTAGGGAAGAGAACCCTGAACATACTCCTGCCACAGCATAAGAGTGGGATCATTACTACTTCATCTTTTTTTATTACCATTCTCAACTTCCCAAGAATTTTTTGTATTTGGTTTGGAAACAGAAGTTGACTGAGAGGTTACTGCACTAAGTTACAAACAAAAGTTATTTTATCAGGCAACTAATTCTCCATATCAGGGTCACCTGTTCTAAAATTCCTTGTATAAAAACTGCTAAAGACATTTTTACACATTTAAATAAATAAAATCTGTATAAAATGTTCATTAGTTAAGTTGCTTTTTTAGTACTAACATAGGCTGTTAAAATACTCTTAAACTCTCTAAAACTCACTGTATATTTAAAACTAGAAATTAACTGATTTTCTCTCCAATCCCAGCTGACCAAGTTCACCTGCTCTCCTGGGTTTAAGTCTCCAGCAGGAATGTCAGTCAGTAAAGCTGGGTAGGACTCATCGCATAGTTCTGTTCCATGAAGAGTCACATGAGTTTTCTGAGTTAAATTGGCATCCTGTCCTAGAAGTGTTAATATTGATGTTTTAAAATATAGAAAATTCAAACATTATCATAACAATCAATACTGTGTGAAGAGCACTATGTCATACCATCTTTTAAGCAAATGTCCTATAGTTGACATCACCATGCTTATTTTATGCTGAATTAATACTGATCAAATTTACAAAACTAATGCTTACCTGGTTTTAAACCAGCAGTGAGCTTCATGTCTCTGATTTGGGTCTTTTCATAAGATTGAACAGTCACAACCAAGCAATACATTTCATTTGTCAGGGCAGGAGGCTCATGTCGCAGATGTACAGAAATGTTTGGAATTCTGGAAATGATCCTTTAACAAGAAACTTTAGCTAAGTTTCTGATTTTGCTAGAAAGTGTCAAAAGGAGTGAAATTTTCTTTTCTATTCTTTGTTGGTTTTTTTTTAATTTTTTCATTCATTTCTATACCTTTTGTGCTAGAACTGCATCAAGCCCAAAATTAGTGCTCAATAATTAATTTTTGAATTAATAAATATATAACATAGATGTAATTCCTCTTTTATAACATTAGACCCAAGTAGAGTGCATGCCTACTCTTCTTCCTCAGTAGTAATTTGGACAATATACATTTTCTTTTTATCTGATATAAATTAAATTTAAGTATCTTAAGTATGTCTTTTAATAGTCTGTCTGGTAAAGCAAACTTACATTGTGCTTGCCTGAATTATGATGCTGTCCCAGTGAACCTCATTGTCAGGTAGCTTAGGCCGTCTTTTGAAAGAACGTGCTGCCTGTAAGGCTTCTTGGGAGGAAGCGGCATCTCCTCCACCTCCCTGCCAATTTAAAACCACACATCTTCCCGTCTCGTTGCCCAGAACCAGATCCACTGAAGTAATCTAAAAGAAGGTCAGAAATGCCATCTCATACTTGCTTGTCACCATCCCCTCTCAACAAAATCACACTGTAGATTGCCAGACTATGGAGTTCATCCATGAAAGACAAGGCAGAACACCTGCTGTTAGAGTCTTATTCTGACTCAGACGCTGACCAACTGTGCTCTGGGTTTCAACTTCTTCACTTTCGAAACAGAGATAAAAACCTGACTTTCTAGCTAAGAAAATGACTTTACGGTACTGTTATGATTTTAGCACCTGGCACAATACCTGATATAACAGATTCCTAATTAGTGGTTGCTGAATGAAATAAACGAATATTTTAATGACCATTGATATATTTATAAGCTAATTTCACAAACAATTTTCATGAAAATATTTATAGAATTATTAATGAATGCTTTATTAATTGGATAAATGTTCTTTTCAACTAAATCCACTAACAAAAAACAAAATAAAATTAATAACTATGATTTACGTGTGGTAGGCTTCCTCAGGCATCATGTAAAAAATAAAACACATAATTAAGGATTCAGTCAAAATCATGAAGGATTTTTTAAAGATGAGTATGCAAAAACCTCTGGATACTGGTTAACAATAAAATCAAAAGGTTCACAGAAATTGTTTTCGGAATATTGGTAGTACAACCTTATGCACCATATAGCAGTGGTCCCAAGTTTATATCAGCTAACCATTCCCATTCAAGTAATGGAAAACAAGTACTGAATGAGTATTTACTATGAACTAATGACTATTCCAAGTAATTAACTGACATTAATTAACTAATATTATCTGATTGATTTAAACATCATGAAATTGTAAGAAGTAGGTACTATTTTTATTCCTATTTTATAGATGAATACACTAAGACACAAAGAGGTTAAGTAACTGCCCAGGGTCACAAGCAAGTAAGTTGGTGAGTCAGAATTTAAACCCACATTGTTTGGCTCCAGGGTTTATACTCAATAAAATATTACTTTCATCATATATTACTAAAAGGTATTTTGATTATCTACATTAAATCAATCTTCCAAAACATACACCTTCACTGTTTCCTTAAAAATATGCAATAAGCAATGTTTAAACATCAAAAGATAAAGATATTTAGTATGAATTATATCATATTATACAAAACATATTTTCTATATTATATTATTTATTGTTTAAAACTCTTTAACTGATTATGTAGCCATTAAAAGATAAGAGTGATCATATGCACTAATAGGAAAAGATGTCTAATACACAATATTAAGTGAACAAAGCCAGCTACAGAATATTATGTAGAGTGTATTTTCAATTTTTTTAATTGAAAAAAAATTTTGAACTACAAATATGTTCACAAAAAAAATGTCTGAAAGAAAACCTATCAAACTATTATGAATGGTTTCCCTTGGGAAGTCCAGGTAGAAGATTTTCATCTTTTATTTAATAAACTTCTGTATTATTTGACTTTTTTCCAACATAAACATACTACTATTAAAAACATTTTAAAACAAATTTCATAACTAACCTCAATTTTCTTTCCCACATCTTCAGTTTTTGCCACAAATTTAAATAACAATTTTCTTGTTTTACCAGGAACTAAGCACATCTTTCCTTGAGTCAGATTTTCTAAAACTTCACTTGCTTTGGTGGCTTCTTCTATAATACAGAACTGATTGTATTCCTGAAAAAGAGGTTAGCAAGGGTCACAGTTTATTACAAACTACAAATGTCAGATGTTTAGCTAACACTAAGCACCAAGTGATTTGGAGCTTGTTTAGTTTTAACTGTATACACACTAAAGCATTATGAAGGGTCATTAATAAAAGGAAGTATTTTAATGCCAAATGGAGGCACTTACCCACTCACTGCCGCCAAAAGAGAAAAACAGTTCACTACTCACAAACTGATTTCTGAAAACATTTAGATACTCCTTTTCCAGAAAGAGAGACGAAAGATTTGCTCTTTTTTGCACTGGATGCTTCTATCATTTTTTCTTGAAGAGCTTTCTTTTTACTTGGCTTCCATGATACTATCTCCCATTTCTCATCCTCCTTGGTTCCTTTCTGTTTTCTCTCAAAGGCCTTTTTTCCTTCTTCTTGTCCCTTTAATCCAGAGGCTCCTCAAGTTTCAGTCCTTGGCTTTCTTTCAGCTCCTCCCTTCTCTTTATGTTCACTTCATTGGAAAATTTATTCATTTCCATATTTTCTGCACCTTTGTGCTAATATCTCCCACATAAAACTGTCCTACTCTATCCTAATTCCTTAATTATAAGCTATATCCACAACTGCCTAGAGGATAAATCCACTATCACCTCAAACTCAGCACGTCCTAAACTGAACGTATATCTACCTTTCCAGAAGAACATACTCATTACAGATGAATAAATGGAGACACCTTTCATGTACATATATATGGAATCACCATTCTTATCTGTTCAATAAATATCAAGAATTTTCCAAGAGCTATCTGCTGTCCCAGCAGATAAATTACCTTCATAGAAAATTCTTATATAGTTCAAGTTTTATGCATTCTCTCTAATTTTCATTTCCATTCCATGCTTATAAAACCTAAGTACTCTACCTTTTTTCTTGTGATTTGTATCTTGAATTTCAAATAAGATATATTCAGAATATAATCTAATTTTAAAACTAATTGCTTTATATTCTATTTTAGCATTTTTATTAGTTTTTAATTTCAGAAGTTTATGCTTGAGAAAAAAGAAAATAAAAGAAAAAATGGAATAGAAGGATATTAAGGTAAAAGTAAAATAAGAGTCCCTATATTGATCTTCTAATTCCAGACTTAAAGTATTTCATGGTGAACAAAAACAAAAACAAAACAAAACAACCTATCCTTGGGGAGCTTACACTCTAGTAAGAAAAAAACCAGTAATCACACACAGGTGAAACCACAGCCGTGCTATAAAGAGCTATGAAAGCCTGGCTGGGTGAACCACGTAGGTCAGGAGAGGCTTCCCTGAGGAAGCGATGCTTTCAAGTTATAAAAGACGAGGAGGAATTAACTAGTCAAAGAGAGGAGGGCAAACCAATCTAAGCCGAGGAAAGAGCATGTACAAAAGTTCCTGCCTTTTATTCATCCTATCCCCATTCTTTATCCACTCTATATACTCAGCAACTCAGAGTGATCTATTTTAAAATGCCTTTTGTATCCCTAAATCTCCATCCTCACCCACTAGCATCCTATCCCAAATCCTCATACTCTTGGACCTAAATTAAAATAAAGAGCCTTTAATTAGTTTCCATAATATCACTTCTTTCTCTCTATTGAGCTACTAGAATAAAATTTCCTAAATTTCATGCTCTTGCTTTAAAATTCTCAAACTAGAAAGAATCTTTTGCTAAGGGTTTGAAGTTTTATAAAACATACTGCTCTTCAGGCAACTCAGGTTCATCTAACCATTTCTGTTACAGGGACATTTCTTGGATTTTATGAATCAGATCCTATTAAGACAGATAATACCCTTTCTTAATGCTCTTCAGGCAACTCAGGTTCATCTAACCATTTCTGTTACAGGGACATTTCTTGGATTTTGTGAATCAGATCCTATTAAAACAGATAATACCCTTTCTTATCATCATCCAATAATTACATAGATAAAACATGGATAAAAGAATGAATAGATAAATCTTAAAAGGCTATTTACTAGCCATCTCTTAACTCTTCAAGGTTCCTTTAAGCCACCGAGCCTACTTCCCACTACCAACCATTATAAACCCTGCTTCAGCAAGGCTGTTGTCTTGACTCACCCATAAACACAGAGTGTGCACGTCTGTTTCCATGCAGTGTTTTCTCATTGCTGAACGTGTTCTTCCCCTTCCATCTTTTTAGACCCACCCTAATTTCATCTTCATTCTTGGAACTTCCTCCTTTCCTTAGCATACCTACTCTAACTGCACTTTTAGACTACACTACACACTTAGTCTTCATTACCTACTCAGACAATCTTTGAGTCAGTCCTGTCCCTTGCCCATAAAATGATTACATTTTAATGGGGTTGACATATGCTATATTCTTTTCTGGTTCAAGATGCTAAGATTATTCAACTCTCAATAAATGCTTGTTTGTTAAAGGCTCTCTATATTCCCTGGGTAACCAGATGATGATTATTTATTAAGTGAGCTTATAACTGAAAAAACTGGAATATAATCAAGCACTTCACTATATCACAACTTGAAAATGTTCAAATGCAGGAAATATAGTATGACCCCAATTCTGCAGAAAAAAAATTTGCTTATACATGCACACACAGAAAATATCTAGACTATTCAGGAAGTGAACAGGGAGAACCTCTGAAATACCACACATTTACATATGTACTTTTCACTTTATATCCACCTATTCCATTTCAATCTTTCAAACCTCAAACATGTATTAGTTCTATAATCAAAAACTAATGACATTAACTAATAATGTTAAAACTAGGATGGCCAGTTAGCTCGGTTGGTTAGAGCATGGTTGTTAGAACACCAAGGTCAAGGGTTTGGATCCCTGTACTAGCCAGCCATAAAAAAACACACAGAAAACAAACAAACAAAAGGCCCAAAAAACTAATGTTTATCATTAAAAACTAATAACATTATTAATGTTAAAATAGAATACAAAGCAAATGATTTTGAAAATTAGATTTCACTCTGAATATATCTTATTTGAAATTCAAGTTATACATTACAAAAAATATATAGACAGAATTCTTAAGATTTTATAAGCATGGACTAAAAACAAAAATTAGAGTAGGAAAAGTATAAAACTTGAGTTGCTAGTATAGTATACTATATATTTATATAGTATATTATATATTCCAGTATAAATTATATCATATATTATATATATAGTATTATATATTATTATTTTGTTTTGGCAGCTGGCCATCATGGGGATCCAAACGCTTGACTTTGGTGTTATCAGCACTATGCTCTAATCAAGTGAGTTAACTGGCCAGCCCCAGTACAGAAGTTTAGAAATATAACTACATTTATTTTTAAATAGACCTTATCAAAGTTTATTTGTTACTATGAAACCATTAAGACCTAAAATTCACTAAACTCATTTGATCTAGTTTAAAGCAAGCTACAATAAGATACACACATGGTAAAAATAAATTAATGTTACCATTACCTGGTTATTAAAGCTGACACAAAGCTTGGAAAACCTAATGGGATGTGGACAATCAGCCTTCAGATAAATATCAAATTGAACAGGAACATCAACATGAAAACTTGGGGCATGAAACTTGGCTTTGCATTGTACTAGAAAGAAAAAGAGCTCAGTTATACACTACCAGATGCTCAAGACTCACACACATTATTCCGCGAACCACATTTACTCTTCAAAAAGACCCATCTACATTGGCCATCCTTACTGACTTTTGTACTTAAAGCATTTCAACAGAGATAAATGTAGCTCACTTTTAAAAAATAATCAACATTTAAATAAATTATAGCTTCAAAACTATCTTTAATTTTAAAAACATAATTGCTCCTGAAATGCAGATGACAAGATTTTAAAGGAAAGAGGACCATTTTTTTAATCAACTTTCAAAATTCCTACCTAGACATTAAAGCATAAATCTTTTAAATAACTGTCTTTTCAAATGTGTTTCTAATAACATCTGAACTACAAATGAACAAAGTATATTTTAAGACATAAATTAAGTATTTAAGATCTTGATTTATCTTTATGTCATGGAGGAGAAAGAAAAAAATCAGTTTATCAATAAAATGATGGTACTTTGAAAATTCTTTCTTGACTGTTATATTTATTATTCTGCATTTATTCATTTTGTAGAAATAAGGATGATTTCTCTAACATAATATTGTAGATATTGGCTACTTACCAAATGGCACAAAGTCCTGTACACCTATCGTGAAAACATTGCTGCCAGCCAGAGAAACTCGATCCGCCCACAGCTTCTGAGCAGTTTTCACAGCTAATATATCACAGTCGGGTTCTGGATCAGGACTTTCATTCTGTACCAACACAGAGTTAAACATTTGATGAGTTGAAAAAAAAAAAATTCGTATATAAAAATAAAGATCTAGGTATACATATTCTTACAACATATTTTATATAAAGAATTCTAACCAACCATTAAAACATTTATGAGGTTCTTTTCTATCCGAGATTTCTGGTCATCTTTCAGAGTTGAAGCTAATATGAAGAAAGAAGAGAAAAAATTAAAACTATAAGACAGGCAAGTAAATACACTACCCCAATTTAATGTTTTAAAGATATTTTACAATAAACACCTCTTCTATGATGACTAAGCTTAATAATTTGCAAATAGTAAAAGCACTACTAAATATTTGAGACTGAATTATTCTTCGAATTTTGAAAAGATTAAAGATGCTAAATAATTTTATAGATTAAGAATTTTACTGAAAGAATATAAACTCACCTCTTCCTAGGAGTTCTAGGGAGTAAGTAATGTAATCCTTTAATTGGGCCATGAGGTAGGAACACTTCAGAGCTGTAGTCAGTATAGACGTGAGGAGAGTCCACCATCCTTCACTCCTATAATCACACATCACATAATCCAGCAACCTAAAAGAAGATAAAGTGTAAGACACACTGAAACAGCTTCATAAGAAAGGGCTTGAAGAGTTCTTGGAGTAAATAAAGTGCTTTCCTCATTTTATATAAATATAAGAAAATCTTCCTGAGAAACATAACAGGCATTTTCACGTTTAACTAAACAGGAGGTTGCCTAAAACTTTGAAAAGATTGTGCCAGCAGACAGCACTTAAAAACTATCACAGAAATGGAGTTTAATAGAAATAGAAATAAATATGGAAATAATAAATCCTTCAAATATAAATTTCTATTCCAATTTTACTGTAAGGTAATCAAAAAACTTGTAAAAATGAAAAGTAAGTAGGGCTTACTTCAAAGCTTTGGTATAATCCTTTGCATAATAATATTCTTCTCCCATTTGAACCACTATAAAGGAAAAAAGATTTACGTACAGAATTTAAAATTATTCAAAGTTGCATGAAATTGTGGCATGTTATGGATACATACTTAGGTGACTTTTCATTCTTGGACATTTATACTTCTTGAATTGTGCAACAGCATTGCTCAGAAGAGTTATTATCATTTCCTGTTAGAAAAGACCAAGTATGAAACACTTCAATAAAAATAATTGTATATTTTTCTCGAATACTGTAAAAAATGGTTTCTATCAGGAAAAAATAAAACCCAACTTACAGAATGAACAACATTTCTCTCCTTCAGCTGAACGGCAAGAATTCCCACCTTCTCTTTTTCAGGATCAGAAAGATCAAAACCTGTATAAGACAAGACACAACCCATTTTAGATAGCTCATTTAACGTAAATCTTCACGTGAACATTGTATGTGCACACTCCTTGAATCCTTTAATGTAATGTATTTAAGATTCTTAAACATTCTAGAATCTTGAAGACTCTAAGAGATACCTTTATCAACATGGAAACGTCTCTGTGATCTCTGGTCTGAAGAGAACATTATTGAGCTCAATGTCCTGTTACCTAGTGGAATCGACCATCTGAGAAGTAACATCAGCATCATCCCCCACAGAGAACACACTCTTTGGAGATTAAAATAAAAACTTCTTAATACATAATGTTAAATTGCCGAGATGTTGCTCGAATTAAATTATATATAAAACACAAGATGCAGAGAAACTGTTTCTAAGGTGATACAAATTAATGCTGTTTTAAAATTTCAAATAAATCATTAAAGTTAACTGGAATTAAAATATTTAAATAGACAACAGTGGCTTGTTAAGTGTGTCATTTAATTCAACAGATGTACCAATGTTTTAATCACATCATCTTTAATTATAAAGTTATTCTAAGATGTAGTAATACAAAGCATTCTAAAAACTAAAAAGCTGCAAATCTTAAAATAAAAAAACGTTAACAAAGCACACATTTTTACTTCAACATAACTTCTTATGCCTAATATGGCCAACGGAAAAATTATGATAGCCATCTTTGCCTTTTGAGGTTGAGAGAAAACAGTGGAAGGAAAAATTATTTACTTAATATTCCTTGTCGCCATGATCTTTGTCCATAAAAGTCAAGAACACCTGTTTGTGTTTCTAAAGGATCAGGATTGGGATACATTACAGAAGCCTGTAAATTCAAACACAAACCAAAATAATAGTTTACATAACCCATAACAAATCAACTCTTGCCCAATCTTTCAGTGAATAAAAAAGTTTTCATAAATACAAACACCAAATACACATTCAAATATCAAAGTGTGAATACTTTAACACAAATTTTAACAAAAATCAAACTAAAAGTTTCATTTAATATTTAGTCTTATAAAAATGAAATTGCATAAATCAGTCTGACTCTGACAAATAATTTCTAATTAATTTCTTTACATTTTCAAAATTTCTTTATTTCTTAATAAACCAGTAAAAATACATAACAAATTACGCTTGATATTTATTCCATCTGTATAAGTGTTCTTTGTGTAAATAAAAACAATGTTATAAGGAGTTAAAGAGAAGACACTATTTTCCTTCCTTATCATTTTTGTATTAAGTCCTGGTACTGTAGAGGGGATATTTTTGGCATCAGAATTGACAGATCTACACTAATCTTTCTTCTTTATAATTTTTTCCCTATGAAACCAAAATATAAGCAGATTGTTAAAAAATTAGAAAATACTCAAAAAGAAAAAGATAAAAATTTAAATTACAGTCATGTGCCTCATTACAATGTTTCTCAGTCAATAATAAACCACACAGACCATAGCAGCTATATCATAGAGCCGAGGCATGTAGCAGGCTATACTATCTAGTGTTGTGAAAGTACACTCTATGATGTTCGAACAATAATGAAATGGTTAACAGATCTCTGCTGTTAAGCAACACGTGACTGTCCTCACAAACTTACTACTACTATTAACAGTGTATATGTTATTCTTCCAGATTTTGCATGTGAAAATTTGTCACTGATTGGAATAACTTTTCATACTTTTTTCATTTAAATATATTCTGTACATTTTATTGTATTACTAAATAATCTTATTAAACATTAGTTTTCATAGCTGCCTGCTTCCATATTTTAACAAATTTCCTATAGTTGTTCATCTTATTTCTATTTTACATTGCAATTAATAAATCTGTGAGAAAAACTTTATAAACCAATCTTGGTATTTATCTCTTAGGATCTGTTATCTGCCTTAGTATTCCTAAAATGAAATTTGGTGTCAAGAGATATGTATGGTTTTAAAGCTTCTCAAATTATTACTTGACAGAAATATTATTTTACATTCTAGACAATGATATTTAATGCCCAGTTCCTAATATCCTTACAAAATCTAGTTTTAATTACCTTTTAAAATACTGTGTTTAAATTATAATATGCCAAACTTTGAAAATACATGTAATAAAGTAATAAATCGTATACAAATTACATGGTAAAAATAGTCATATCATCATTTAAGAGGAAAAATCCATGCATTTCAAGTACTAATATGCAAACTACTTTGTTTTTTGGAAGTTTAAAAAAAAATATTTTAAAAAAGATAATATTCACCTATCTTCAGAGAAGAAAAGTGCAGGTTTTAAGTGCAAATAAAC